AGGAGACATATGGAGGCAATTTTCATATGAATGATGCCCTGTGGCCTTTCCTGCAAACGAAAACCGAGGATCGTTTACAGAGCTTTTTCTAAAAAACCCTTGTAGAACCCATATCTTCCAACGTGACAGCGCGGAGGGAGAGTTTGGAGACAAGGAGCGCCATTGAAAGCCATTTTTGTGATTATGTAAACTGGCTGGCATCAGCCTTATCAGTGCCATCTTGATTTAAGGTATGTTTTCTGTACGATTTTTGTAGCTGATAACGCCCCACGCCATCAGAGTTCAAACACCACCACGGCACATTCCAGGAGTTGTTGAAGTAACCCTGTCCTACAAATCCAAACAGTTCTGCAAAGGTGCTCCCGGCCGATTCGTCTACACTGGTAAGTGTGTGGTTTCCATACTTCTTTTGGGATGACAGCTCCTGTCTCTTTGTGGTACACAGGAATGAAAAATGCTGTTAAAAATAGGATTTGTCTTGCAGGATGTGTAACTGGTGGTAGCTGGACCTCAAAAGACTTGTTCATATGGGCCCATCCAACCTCTTGGGTCTCAAAATGTCCCCATGTCCCATGGGATCCAGCTCCCTCACAAGATGTCTGTTACTTCCTGTTTTCATATTGGCCAGAAATAGATTAACAATGGTATTTCCTACTCTCCTCCAGCCAGAAAAAGGAGTTAAGAAGTGTTCATGATGCAAAATATTTTTCAGGCCATCTATCCAAACTTCTTGAACTTCCCTGAAGGCTCAGTTGAAGTTTTAGGCATGGGTTCAAGGAGCTGTTGTTGGATCCAAATGACTTTATCCAACCCTACTCACAATCTGTCTATAAAGATTCCCTCAGACCTAAAACTTGGGATACAATCTCACAAGCCTGGGAATTATTTATTTGTGCCAATTCTTTCAAATACATTTGATTTTAATTTACAACAGCACAAGAAAAAGTCGGAACTTTGTGGTTTTGCAGCGGTTTTAATATGAAAATTCTTATTTTGGGATGAAGTATTGCTGGCTTTTTATCTGAAATGTGTATTAGAGTTTTTCTGGCATTTACCAATGAATTTAACTGAGGTGAGGGGAGGGAAAAGGGAGAAATAGTGATTTAATTTACTGTACTTTTGGACGAGCATTCTAGGTAATAAATTTGATCTGATGAATCAATCTCTCTTTTGAAAACAAAGAGCCTTAACTGTTTACTCGACAGACTGCAGGGATTCGGGGAGAGTCCTTGCTGCTTATTGGGTAGATAATGCAGATTGCAGATGATGTGCAGATGATGTGCATTTTGATGAATATTTTCCCACTAGACTGCAACTGTTTCTATCTATTAATTTAGATCTAATGGGAAAAGTGCATTCCTGGGTAGTTTTAAGGGAGGACTTTTGAAATGGTTAGTGCATCCTGGATATGTTTTTGTGTCTGCCTAAGGTCTATTGTTGAAACAAACTTTTAAGTGATGGTAGCACCTGAGATTCCTGTATTCTCTCTATTCCCAAAGAAATCAAAACCTGAGCAAAAACGCTGGCATCCAAATTTAGGTTCCTCACTGCTAGCCGGGGAAGGCGAGAATATTTGCATTTATTGTTCTTTAGGATTGGTTTCACCAGAGCTTCCAAATGGCACGGTGGTGACTGTGGTGCTTTTGAGGCAGATGATTTATCCCCAAAGGCAGAGTTGTTTTGCTGCAAAGGTGGTGAGCATAGGTAGGCCTGTCACTGCTGTGGGCCTAGAAATGCTCTTACAAATAATATTTTATATATATATATATATATATATATATATATATATATATATATATATATATAGGAACATAGATATATACCCACACATACACACACACACACACACACACACACACACACATTATATATATATATATATATATATGTGTAGAGTTTATGCAAAGCTACAGCCGAGTATCCTGCAAGTATGACAAGCTAAAAGAAGTGTCCAACAAAATAAAAAATGAATGAATTAAAAGCCTTAGCCCAAGTTCCAGATATTTGAGCTGTTGGGAGCTGGTGCAGTTCCACGGCGCACAGGGAAGCGCTGCAGATTTGAACCAGATGACGGTCTGGCTCTCAGGGCAGAGCCTGGAATTCTAACTTGCTTTAGAGTAATGTCTTTAACTGATTTCTGAGGAGCAGATTTTGCAAATGTGGCTAATTTTGCTGTTTTGAGGTTCTTTCTAATGTGGAAGTGGAACTCTTTCTAGTATGTTTAAGGAACTGGAAGAACAAACCATTTTTTTTCCTTCTTGGGGTTGTCTTTTGTGTTTATCTCTAAGTAAAGATGCTCAAAAGGATCATGAGAATGTCAGGAGCTTCTCCCACTGGAATGAAATTGTAATAAAGTAATGTAACTAACAAGACTTTAACAGGAATAGATATTTAAAACACCTTTGGAGGGAAACAAAAGCCAATATCCCAGCGATAAGAAAATAGAGAGCGAAAGCCAGAGCCTGCCTGACAGAGAAACTTCTGCTGTGCGTTATCCCAGAGTGATCGGGTGGCTAAGATAGTCTTTGGAAATTACAGCTGCCGTTGAGAGGGAAGCCAAGCCTTGCTGTATTTCAGAAAATGAAAATGCTGTAGCCTGGCGGAGGGAGGGGCCGGGTCCCCAGGGCATCTGTTTCCCATCAGTGTCCCACCATGCTTGCAGCCTGGCTTGGCACTCTAACATTTAACCTTCCCGGCAGGAGGTAGACCATAGGGCAACAAGGCTGCGGAATAATGAAACAAGAGTGTAGTGTGGTGCACAAAGCCTTTGTGAGCGCAGAAGTTGAGACATTAAACCAGCAGGGCAGGGAGATGCGAAAGTTCCAGATTTTTCTCCAAAGCCCCCATTAGCCCGGCGCAGAAGCAGGAGCACGCCAGCTCCCAGCAGGCAAAGGCAAGGCCTTTCCCCATCTATCCATGCCTTTTTGCCCGCTGCTTTCAACTATTATAAAGATACAATTACCTTGGGAGATTGTGGCAGTTCAGTTGATTAGCACGGTGAATTAAAAGAATGAGTCACAAATGACATGTCCGGCTCTTCTCTACTAGTCCTTTGTATTCCCAGTGTACTTCACCCCTGTTGTAAGAAGGTCAAAAATTAGAGAGAGATAACAATTTTCAAGCAGCTAGCACTTAGGAGCAGAATTAACAATCATTCTGTATGTAATTGCCAGTTAATAGTAAATTGCCTTCTAGACTGTAAAATGCAATATAAACTGGTGGGCACCTAAAATTAAATTAATGAGGTATTTGCTGCATTTAAAAGTGAATAGTGCAAATTAATAACTGGGTACAATACTTGTTTTAATACATATCGAGTGGTGCAGCATTTGCTTGTTTAATACTAATTTTAAAAGCGCTACCTGAAAAATTTGCTGTCTGTGGGTAAATCGAGTGGTCGGTGCAGGTAGCCATAATTTTGCTGGTACAGTCTTCCAGGTTTCTAAATTAAATATCAGAGATTATTTTTTAATTAGAATATAAGCACTGCAGCCTTATTTGATTATGGCAAATTGTGATTTGTATGCTTCGAAATGAAATTATGTTACAGATAAAATTGCACCTTTGCACACATATTTTAAGCTCTGCAGATTCTCTTGGTTTGCTCTCAGCTGAGCAGCAGGATTGTGTTTACAGTGTGTTTGTGCCACTGCCTTCCTGTTTTCTCTGTGTTTTGTGTAGTTTCCCAAGCAAATAAAGGGTGCACGGCCTGATCTAGAGCATACCAAAACAGTTCCAAAGAATGATTCGTGGCCCTTGGAACTTTTCATGCTGGCTGCTTCCACCCTATGGCTTTTGTTGCACGTCCCTATTTTGACAGCTCCTTTGGCTTTGAGGCAATGCCCCAAATTGTCAGGAGGCAGCAGATCCCTGGCAGGGGACCCTTGTGGCATCCGACCGCCACCACGTCCCCAGCAGAACGCGCGGATGTCCAGCCCGTGGAGCCATGCCCAGGCCCGCAGTGCCTTTGCTGCTGGATGTGAGCAGGAGAACGATTCCCCAGCGCGAAGCCTTGCGTTGGATTTGGAGCTCGTGAGCCCATTGCTGGTGGCCCAGGGTCCCGCTGCCGGGGCGTTGGTGGCGCGGCACGGCTGGCACGGCCCCGGCGGGGGAACCCCTCTGCCCTCGTGGCGTTGCCCGGGTTTTTGGGCTTGGCTCGCCCTCTCCTCGGCATGGAGACCTCGCCTTGGAGACCTCGCCTTGGCTGCTCTCCTGGGCTGGCCCCCACCCCGCGTCCCCCTCGGAAAGATCTCGCGTTCCTCAAGTATTTGGGAGATCTTTTGTGCGCATTCAAATGCGGTTCTGTCAATGGCGCTGTTACACTGTTTAGAGTCAATAGCTCCCTTCCATCACAGCCAACACAAACTGGCTGTCTCATAGGTCAGTGCTCTTTAAACAAATTACTTGTATCCACAGAGCAAATGATTGTTAATTGCCTCCCACAAATCATACTATTTTTACTATGCTAAACTCCACGGCAAAGGCCTTAGTTAAATTTAAATCACCTGATTATTTCTTGTACATATTCAATTATTGCTCTGAAGGATGAAATCTGGTGACTTTGCGAGAGGAATGCTAAAAATATACCGAATGTATCCAGGCTTTTATTGGAAAGCCTTAAAAAAAAGAAAAAGCAGTTACATTCATTTTAATGAAATCCTCAGCATTTCTAATTCATATATATTGCATTTCTTTTTTTTTTTTTTTTTTTTTAAGTGCTGTTGTCCTGAAGCAACTTACAGTCACTGTTATTACACTATTGGTTATTTATTGATCAGACCCTGTGTCAGTATCAGTTGTTAGCAAGCTGGAAAAAAAAATCGAGATAGAACAGATATTCTTGGCCTTTCTTCAAGCTGGGTCTCTATAAGCAAGTCAAAGTTTAGTGTTCAAGAGTCAGACCCAGAAAGTCTCTGTTAATGGGTAAAACTGCTTTATAGGCCTGGAGTAAAATGTATTTTTCTGAAAGCAATAAGTCAAAGGGGAAGGGATTCTAGTGAAGTGTCTCTTCGTATAAAGAAGGTTTTTGAGCATGACATACATTTTTAATTAATAGGCCAATGCTAAACATACAGACATGATTTAGTAGCATCAAGTCAATAGCGTGTTGGATAATGTATATTATATAATAGCTCTTTTTTAAACAGTAGCAATTCCAGGTTTATCAGGGTCATTGCTGTCCCCTTTCTTTTCTGTCTCAAAGGAGGCCAGAAGAATGAGACATACCATTTGTGCTATTGCACAAGTAGACTATTTGTCCTAATCAGTGACACCCATTTACTAGAATTGCTTAAAATGAACTATACCTCATACAGAAATCGCACATTTAGAGTGTTCCATTCATCATCGGAAAATTGAGGGCCAGTAAACTTTTCTGTTCCTC